GGAAAATTACTGTTTAGTATTGTATATACTGTGTGACATGCCATAGGATTCTCTGATGGACACAACGTTTTCTATATTATTGTTCACCATCGTCACCATCATTCTCGTACTAGTCTACTGAAAAATATAAGCCTATATTACATCTATATTTTCGTTGTCGTTATTAGTCTTTTTTTGGCTCTCTGTCTCGTTCTCTTTTGCTTCAATGAGAGAATGTTGTTGTTTTGGTTTATGTATTATGTGTATAGAATCTCATCCTTTTGTTTCTGTCATCCAATGGCGCGCCCTTCTTTCATCACCGTCCATCTTATAGTTGTTTTTACTGGCACGACACGGCGCGATATATGCGTGTTGACACATCATTGGGATCAAGAAAGAAAGAGAGGAAAAGGGGGAGACAGGGAGGGAATGAAAGAGAGAGAGAGAGAGAGTAAGAGAAGGAGGGAGCGAAAAATCATAACGGAAGAGATTAAAGAAATTCGAGAAAACGCACAGCCGGTATGTGAAAAGGAGCAGCTGAGCAAAATCAAACTTCTTTAACGAAGACTACTCATGTTCCGGGTCAGAAAAACAATATAATATTTTTCATGGGCATAGCAATCAGTCTGTCTTTCTCCTGTTTTCCATTCACATATAATAGCAGAGGATGAGCGCACAATAGTGTTTCCGAAATGATACATATCACTGTGCACTAATCGGTCTCTAATCATTGTCATAGTTGTTCGACCATCACTTTTTTTCATTTCGAGCTTTGTGGTTTGTTCGATTTTTTTTTTTGTATTCAATTATTTTTTCTCAGTCAGTATCTTATATACTCACACAAATACACATATGCATTTACAATAGTTGAAGGATGAATTATATAACTACAAGGAAGTCTATCTAAAAATATCTGCTTCTATATAAATGGTATATTCTATATTGAGTAATGTACAATCGTAATATACACTTACGTTCCAAAAAAAAAAGAGAAAATAAGAAAACATCTTGCTACATTTTATGCACGCTGAACGATCACACATCTTATCATCAGTTCTTCGTTACTATTGATTCTTTTCTGATTATATGAGTCTGTTGAGGCGCATTTTTCGGATGTTCAATAGAACGCAATCCTAAAGTGGAATGTCAATCCGAATTAACGTCAAGCATTTTATTTCTCTTCAATGCATATTGAAACAATCATCAATAAAAAAAATACATACAAGTATCATCTCCTAATAAAAAAAACCAGTGTGAGTAGATTACGTCAATTGAGATAGATGAAACTGAAAAAAAATACTAACTCTATCCATATGATAGTGCTGGATCGATGGCACTTTCTCAAATCGAGCTCAAGGTCAATATTGATCGTCATCATTATCATTATCAAAAAACCAATACTGCTATCAGTATACTACGAGTATAAATGAGGTGTACTAACATACGTATAGAATGCTATACTAACCAAGTTTCATCCAACAGACGCATCAATTTACAGAGAGAGGGGATTCATAAAAGCATATCTTTAAAGGGCACCAAAAATGGCCATAAGGACATAATAAATACAAAAAGAATCATACAGTTCTTGCAAACATCTACCATAACAAACTGATTATTTTTCTATTAGATTATTACATTTGACATTTTTATGATGAAACTGATGCATTTTGTTCGCCTAATAGATCTAATAATAATTATAATATAACATTCTTGAAGAAAAAATAAGTCAGAGAAATACCTATTAAAATAAGGAAACAAAGAGTTCAACTTGACAAATTCATGTAGAATATATAGGTCATTGTTTTTTCTCTCTTTCATACATTAGTATTATAATAGAATGTCCTAGAAAAAAAATACATAAGAAGACTTTGAATTATATTTTACAATCATTAATGATAGGCTGGCTATACATTAGTAAGTGTAGTTTGTTTTCTTGTGTTGAAAAGACACCGACTAAACGATTGATTAAAACATACATCAAACATATCGTCATGCGATAGATAACATACTCATGAGCAAATAACGAGTAGAAGAAACGGGAAGGAAATATGTTTGTGTTTGTGTTTGTGTATGTCGGCAACATGACATTTTAGGAATCGTTGTTTGTTTCTTTTAGCACAAGAGAAATACATCAAAAAAAATCTGTCATTCGGCAAACAAACGACGACAAGTGGATGTCACCGCTTATTTTTATACCTTCTAATCTGTGCTTAATTTATACATGATCAATTATATACTAAATTAGTCTTTTTTTTATCATTAGTGTTTTATTTTTCTATACAATATGTACAATACTCAAAACAAAAACAAAAAGAAAAACAAAAAAAAAACTTAATTGTTTGTTCATTTTTGTTTGATTTTATTAATTGACTTTGTTTTTCTCTTTGTAATTACTTTAAATATTTGTTTTCTTGTCATTTCAATATGTTTTCTTTCAGAATCTAATTCAAGGTCATTAGCAAGACGAATTGCATTAGCAAATTGAGTTTTAGCTGAACGTTGGTAACCAGTTATTAACAGTTTAAGAGCCAAACACATTAAATAACGTGGTCGTAATAATTTAAAATGTTTACTTATATCATACATATGATTTATAATTAAATGTTCATGAATTTCGTTTGGAAGTATTGATATACGAGTATCAATAAGCCATTTGGTACATTCATATATTTCATATATAGCTAATTTAAGCATTCCATTACAAACACGAAATGTCCATTCTTTTAATGACATACCAAATTTAATTGCACGCATATAATGCTATTTGAAATGAGAAGCAGATGTATATTTAATATTTTTTTTTTATTTAATCGAAGAAGGTACCGTGACATTAAATCAGAAATGCTTCATTAATTATTCAATAAGATTTATGTCAAATCGAGAAGAATTTTTTTTTTTGTCAAGGAAACAAAGCAAACTACATTAACATATTAAAGTGTTGAACTTTGTGATTTATTGTTTGATTCAAAATAATTCTTCTCTTCCTCCTCGCTCCTTTTTTTCCTAAAACGTTCTCGACTTCCTGTGTTATGTATTGATTCATGCTAATAAAACAAAACAGAGAAAAGAAAGTGTTATTTCATGTTCATTGGAAGAGAATATAAAGTGGCAAAAAACCATTATTAGGAAAAGTATTTCTATCATTTGGTCGATACAACTAGAACAATTATATTAAAAATCTACTTTCGAAAAATTCCGTTTTTTAATTATCTATGAATTAGTATTGATATCGAAGGTAGAATTATATAAAATTATGTTGAATCTTTATTTTCTAATTATTACGATTTATCATAAGAATTAAAGTTTTTTTTTGTTGTTTTAGAAAAAAAATTTTCTTGATCGTATATATTCAAGATTTTCCATAAAGTTCATTCAATACGTTTGGAAATCTAATTACAGGTACTTGTATTCTAACGATTTATTTTAGAATTAAAAAATTTTCAATATGACAAGGCTCGAAAAACATTGATTAATAATTATTTTCTTGAACACAATTCTCATCATTCTCATAAACAGTTTATTTCAATCGTTTTTTTTTTTAGGTAGAAATACTCAATAAAAAAAAACTCATGTCAATGTGACTTCACGGGAAACCGAAGTATGGAATTTACAAACTCTAACTGTTATAAATTTATGGTAGTTAAAATAATTTATTGAAAAAAAGAAATTGTCAAATAAATGAATAAATCAAAATGATAACAATTTTTATAGTTGGTACGCATACTCGGAAATTTAATTATTTCGAAAATGTTTGCATTTAGAATTACTATTCTACTAATTTATTAGATTTGTTTAACATTTTTATACTGAAAAATTTTCGTTATATTGTCAGATGCATCCTCATTACATAACTTCTTTTCTTCTATTGATAATATATGCGATACATGCCATACGAAGCGGCAAATATCGTTTTATTTTTCGCTTCGTCGATTTAATCACCATATTAGTCTCCTATACACATTGATTTAATCATTTAGTAAGCTTCGAAGCACATAATCCTTTCTTCCGATAAACTTTGACATGTAATATTGAGTTTATTCTAATCTTAGAATTCAATTAGTTCATACTTTTCAATGTCTGTCTTATTCTGACTCTGCACGATCAATAATATCACTATCCTACTAATTGACCCCTACAACAAGATCTTTTCGCTGCATTAAGTATCAAAACCTGAAATATTTAGACTAGTTAGAATCTGAAGTAGAAATCTTAGATCTATAGAATGTTTTGAGAGATTTTCGAAAGTTCCAGAATTATCTAAACATTATTATTACTGATGGGTTGTTAGGAAAATGTACTTAATGATCTTTAACCTTCCTTCTCTCGCTCCAGACGCCTATGACCTACGGAGGAGGGAGGGGGCCGCAAAAACTTCCGTTTAAACATACACACATTATTTTCTTCGAAAATATATGTGACATTCCACAAAAAAAATCTAGACTAGATGCCTTGAAAATATTACAATCGATTGTTTTTTTTTCTCTTCAACAATCAATAGGAATGAATAAATCTATTAATAAGATCATTGAATAACATCATACCTGATTTGCTCTATCCAATTTAACAATTTTTGTATAACATTCTACTAAAGTAGCTTGTGCATAAAAAACCATTGTTAAAAATTTATGAATATCTCCTGGTGTTGATGTTTTCTTTTCTAAATGTTCAAGAACATAATCAATAGCAAGTGCTATTTCATTTAATAAATTTTCATCATATTCTATATTAAGTTCAACAAATGTTTCAAGTGCTAATATAAATGACCATAAACGATTTTCATATTTTAATGGACGGTTTGATTCATTATCAATAATATCAATAAGATCACGTATGACTTCTTCTCGTCGACCAATTAATGCTGCCTAAAAAAA